CTTTAAGCAGTAAAAAAGTCATTGATAATCTTGGGAATTTATTAACCACAGATTTTTATTTCCTTGTTCCGTACGAAAAAGAAGGAAACTCAAGTTGTACAGAATTTAAACAGATCTCTTCCAGAAAGCATCAAAATGTATACTTACTTTTCACTGTTTGAAAACAAAAATTACCGTAACCAAGAGGTCAAACTTATATAACGAGTAATTTGTTAAAACAGATGTACGGATTGGGCGTTCAAGGCAGGGTGAATTCAAATTTGATTTTTTTTTCTGTTACGAAAAGGGCGTAACGTTATTTTTAAAACCAGATTAGGGTCATAATGAAGAAGACATGGAAGGCACTACGCGGTATGAAGACTGCAGTGTTCTTTTTTTGAGAACTGTTAAGAAATAAATCTTTGAAAAGGCTTCTCGAAAACGATTAAAAACCAAATCATCAAATACGTTTTCATCGTGAAAAAACAAATGGCCGTCGTCTTAGTTATCAATAAAACGAGGACAAAAAAATTTAAAACACTGCAAAACGCATCTAGCGGAAAAAGAAAGTGCGCTAAACTTAATCTTGCCTTAAGCCACAAAACCTCATGTCTTATTCATATTGAATGGTTATTGTATTATGCAGAACAAGTGCTTAAAAAAGCTAAATTGCCTAAAAGAAGCACTTTTCGAATAAGTAACTATAATAGAGGGATAAAAGAAAAGAAGAAACGAAAGGGAAAATATTGATAAAATTAGTCTTTTTAGTGACTGAGATATTAAAGCAAATTTCCTCTTACGAAACATTGGCTATTATATACTTTTGTGCTGGCAATTATACAAACATATTGCGTTTGCTATTAAATTGAATGAATACATACGTTTTTAATGATGATTATATAAATTGCTAATTATTTCTTCCGTAACAGCAAGAAATTAAATGTGTGAATTTGATTTAATATTTTTAGAAAGCATTGCACATACCCACGTACAACTGAATGTCCTCTAACAGAGGGACAATTCTTGAATGTAACCTTTGAAGGCCAATGCATTCCTGTTTAGCGCGAACACTCCATGATAACGTACAAAAGCCCTTATCTCATGAGTGTTCGTTAACGGGGAGCTCGATTGTTTATATTTGTGAATGAGATGAAATATTTACACGTGCATCCAACAGGATCCTCTATGAAACGAATAAAAATATACCTATGAATTGCGAAATATAAATAAAAACCAAGGCAATATCAAAATATCAGTTCTTATTTCGAAAAAAAATAATTAGGATTATGAATAACGAAGCGCAGAATGCATGACGGAGACCGGCAACATGAAGGGGCCGCCCAATAGAAGAAAGGTGAGAACGATACACGCTGCGTAGTGGATTCTTTGCTAAGTTGGTTTCCCGAAGCGGAGTTGTATGGCCGGTGATGGATGCCGTGCTAGAACAGCAGAGCGATGGAGCAAATTCTATAAGTGAAGTGCTGGGGCTCCATCCACTTTAGCTTGTCTCTGTATATGTGTATGAATGTGTATTATTCATCAAGAATAATTATTATCCGACAACTCCGAAGTCACTTGTTTGATAAGCCAGTCTTTAAGAGGAGCATTTAAAGGTCTGGCTGAACTAATTCCGCATGAATTATTTGCTGACTGTTTGATAATATCTAGCCCACTCTAATTAATAATTCAGCTGATACATATTCATATAAATACACCAACTGTTAGAAAAAATACATCTTATTCTTTAAACCCATTTGAACAATAACAAATGCAAATGCGGAAATAGCGTTCATTTTCGCCCCTTTCTTCCTTGAGTTCTCTTCCCTTGAAGAAGAGGGAATTTTAAGTTTCGGTTAGGGTGTTATTGATGGAGATCCCTAAACTGATTATACGAGCAAAACTGACTGCTTCTTATTTCAACTAATAAATGCATCTCAGGTATTTTTCTATTTACTAATTTTTTCATGCACTTCGTATACTCAACGAAAGGAATATTTATCTTATATGGATTAGTGCGGCCAATTAAAAACATCACTGATTTTCTTCTCTATTAGGGAGAAATACATTACGTGTGCATAAAAATAGAAAGAAGTAAATCATAAAAACGTGAGACCTAGTTGGTCAAAAATTGCGCGTTGAGTTGCAAAATGTGCATAAAATATGTACATATAGTTTATTTATGACTACAAACATGCGTTTCAAACTTCCATTTGAAATTCCAGTTATCAATGTGTCTGCTTTTATCTTCAAAACTATGAAATAAGACATATTCATAAGACTTCATCTTTCTTATTCTGCGTTCTGAAATAAACTATTTCTGCTGTGAAGGAAATATGAGTAAGAAATTCCTTTACTCTTTCTCTTCTAAATTAGGGTAATTTATTACAAGTAGCTCAAATATTTATATTCTGCAGAAACGAGGTTATATTTTATTCGGCAGAATATCTCGTAACTAATATCAATACACGAGCTGGTGAACTGAAAATTTGCATGTTGTTTTAAACACATTTGTCTAGACAGAAAGTAGACAATGATCTATGACTGGCATGAAAAGTTTAGATGCGGGAAATTTTAAATTTGAGCTTTTTCTTGTAAAGGTCCGTAAAAACCCTGAACGTACTTTCGTAAGACCATGGTTTCGTATTCCTGTTTTAGTCTTTTCCTTAATTACTGCTTTTATGCATACTTTTCTACTACCTGCAATATACATTCTCTTTTACTGCCATGCAGGATGAGAAAGTGTTTAAAAAAGAAATCTGCAGGCTTTATTTCTTCAGGCACTTCAGGCGTTAATCCTAGACATGTACTTCCTTTCACAAACTCAAAATAAAATAAAGAATTTTTAGAAAAGGAAAGAATAGTTTAAAATTCAGTATTCGGAAGGGAAGGCTTCTTAAGCATGAGACGTAAATTTATGTAGGAAATATATTTTGTATAACTAGTAAAATTATTCTAGTCCGTAAAATTTTCATTACTACTTAATAAATTTAATAAAAAATAATTCTATGTTTTTACCGGAGCAATTCTTAGAGATACTACGGAATGAATTTACTGACTTATATATCTTCTATGTGTTGATTACTAAATTATTTCGAGTAGATTTTGATCAACTTCATATGATAATTTAAAGAAGGGCGCTTATTTTTGGCAACCCATGATTCCGTATTAGCAGTTGTACGTAGCTTTCTACATGAAATTATTAATTATTATATATTCTTGAGTTTTGCACGTAAAGGTATAAAACATTTTGGATGTAGCTTGTAGAGTCATTAGATTATAAGGCATGCGGAAAAGAAAGTTGGAAGTACTTTATATACTCCCCCTTTTAAAGGCAGATTGAGGATGAAGGAACCTAATCGCTATATCTCTGGTGATAACGAATTATCATCCACCGCCTTTTTAGTTAGGGCACAGCTGTAGAATTATTTAGAACTCTTTCGATGTCGGGAAACTGTAGAAATCCCAATGCCCTTGCCTGTATTCGAGATCCGGACTCCCTGATTATGTGTCAAGCTTGCTTCCAGGTACACCACGAAGGCATGCGTAAAGGAAGGAGGAAATACAATACAAATGTATTAAAAGGCAATGAAAGCATTGTGATTGAATCGTATGCTTAAAGGAAATTAAATTAAAAGTAATTTTTCACATATACAAACTCCCCACTATTAAAATGATTATTATACTATTCTACGTTACATTTCAGAAATTTTATACTTGAAATCTATGTTCAATAGTTTAGGAAATAAAACTTGTATCCAGCTATTTTGAGAACCTGTATATGAGAAGATATTTACTTACGTATACCTTAAAAAAATTACGCACTGCATTTTTGTCTTTAACAAATTTCTTATTATTGGCAATTTTTTAAATATCTCTTCTTATATCGATATTTTAATTTGTATCCATATTTGTAATATTTATGTCTATTTTCTGTGTAAATATCTGACAGCTATTTTTTACTTTTATACTGACGAACGCATTTACGACATGTATGTTTATGACACCATCCTTTCGGAGCAAATATATACGTAGTATATAATGCACAAAAACTTATAACAGCTATCATTTATGATAATGTAAATTAAATAAAGAATAACAGGAATTATTTTAGATTTGTTTTACCTAAAAATGCTTTGCGCTAGATAGCCAGAATCTGAAATATTGGTAAATTTTGCGAACAATGAAGAAGTTGTAGATAATTCGAGGTGCAAAATTTAATTTGATAACTTATTTTTAAATAAGTAGTGTTTATTAAGTTAACCAAATCGAAGCAAGAACTTAATGTAAATCTTGTAGTTTTAAGAAAGAAAATAGTTTTTTTATTTACTAAGTTCTTACATTTTCATCTATTCCATGCGACTTCAAAATAATAACATATTGAAAGTTTATATCTATTTCCTGATTCATTGTTATAATTTCTACAAGTACAAGTTTTTCATTTGATTCATATCTCCCTTTTAAGTATCTATGATCGATTATTTTTAAAATGAAACACTGTGCAAAATATTTGGAAATCACGAGCATACAAGATAAAATATTCGACGTGTACGAATTTGGCCTCCATTTACCCCAAGTAAGCGAATTTGGCCTCCATTTACACCCAGTTGTTAAAATCTAAACAAACTTCCAAATTTTGGTCACATTATTTATTCTTATAATTAAGAATGCTACAGCTGCCCTCCAGAAAATATTAGTAAAAGTTTCTTAATACTTATTTTATGTTTAACAAACTAAATGCGTTAAGGAACGTAATCTTGCTGCATGAAAAATTGGTAAGGGGTCCTTGCTTAACACCACTTGTTTTAGCATTTGTCGAAAATAGCTGTAAAGCTTAGCTTCAACAAAATTCGAAATGAATACCTTATCTAGAGAAGAGCGTACTATCGGTATGCCACATGAATTTGTAGTCAGCCTACATCTACTTTGATATCCGTAGACTGATATCCGTACAACCTCATTTAATATCTCATAATAGAGGCGTAGTACTGTGACTACCCACCTGATCGCTATAGTAGTTAATGATGCTGACAGCCATACCGATGGGCCTGGGTTCAAATAACGGAGAAGGTATAGATATTTGTAAGTTTTTACTGTCTGTACAGCATGGGGACACTCAAAATACTCGCAGGCCGAAATTCCTCTTGAGTGTTTTGAAGGTAGAGCACTTCGAACCCTCCATCAAAACTGGGCTGGGTATGTAGTAAGGTGGGCTAATAACTGCACAACCAATGATGAAATTCTGGTATCTTGTCCACTTTTACCTATAGTAGTGAGTATTTCTAGAATAAAAAACAAATCTTAAAGTTAAACAAGTTCTATCGTTCAAATTTAATGTTTTAGAAGTGAATTTATCATCAGTATTATTCTGGCGATAACCAATAAACACAAATTTCAAGTAGTGATATTTTGTGCTTGTTTCCTTTAAGTTAAAATAAACACAAAATATCATTAGAATAGTAAGAGGTGTAGTTATCTAAAACCGAAAACAAAAATTAGATTTATTCTCTTCTTTTTAAATACCTTAGTCAATCTAATTAGATCTCACATTCACTAAAGCCGGAGAGGTTTGTGATACTTACCTTGTGATATCTGTGTCATTTTACCTCAAGAAGCACGGATACACAAATAGTATGCTTTAATAGCTCTTGCACAACATAGCCTTTTAATTTCTTTATAGCCCTGTCTCTTTATCTAAAGGCACGTTTTTTATATAAGTTGGGTTCTGTTTGTCCTATACCTCCTTCTTACGCCACAAAGTAATCTTAGTATTATTCAATCTTAGTAAGATTTATTCAAATTCAGTGTATTTATAACTTCATTTAAATGAAAGGGCTTCCATTCTGGTTTGTATAGCTCTTCAATGCTTTAGTTTGAAATTAAACAGAAGACCAAGATATACTAATCTATGTTTAATTAAATCATATTTGAACTAACATCACTTTGATATCAATAAACACCTCCTTTTATTTTATTTTCGCACTAATTTTTCTTACAAAATACCATGATTTCTCAAAAAAGGATTTTCACCGATTGACCAAAAACTATTCGTCGGGAATGGCCGAACCAGTTAATCATTCGGCCGTTTTATCACAGGTAGCTTTTCTAAACTTTCTTTTTTTTTTCTGTCCCGCAGATTAACACCTATATTAAACTCGTGAGAAGGGGGATAGACAGGCACAAACATCCATGCTTTCAATGGAATTCGAAAAGGGCCCAAAACTATGGCACCATCAACTGCAATACCAAACAAAGCGTCTCGACGAAAGAATGAGATATGTGATATTATCCTCTAATTCAGAGTTTCTTAAATTGTGGGTCGCCATTCCCATGGGGGTCGCGGGACCTGTAGCAGAGGACCGCCAAAATTTTATCAGTATTGATATTTCTTTAACTTATTATAATAATTTTACAATTACTAAATATTTTTACATAATATATCTGGAAATAGATAATGATTTGATATTACAGACAAAGAAAAAACAAAAACGTTTCGACGCATTCTTTTTATAATATACACGTTCATTTTACTTATTTTGCACGTGACGCTGTTATTTCGTTTGTTACTTACTTAAAATTTGCACATTGTTCTATGTCTTAAAATTACAATTTAAAGTTATTGACTTAAAACTGCAATAGTGTATTACAGTTCAAGTGAAAACAGTTGACGGTTTCATTCACGCGTGTGTCGGATTTACGCAATGTTTATGGGATCCCACAAAATTTTTGTAAATATAATGGGGGTCCAGGAGTCGCGAAAAAAAATCTCAGTGATAAAAAGGGGTCGCGAGTGAAAAAAGTTTAAGAAGCCCTGCTCTTATTAATTGCTACAAAATTAATGACATACATTTATAACTAATCAAATAATTCTTATCAGAGTCAACGCAACACCTGCTTAAAGGGGGGAGGGACTTGCATGTGATTTATAATTACTTAAGTTCTCTGATAACCATTCATCGCAAGAGCAGAAACATATACTTACGAAATCTCATAAGCACGACAATCTTTAAATATTTTAAACATATTATTCGTAGAAATTCTGTGAGGTTAACTGAGCTTCGTAAAAAGCATAAGCTTATATTTTAGCAATAATATTCTGTACCAGTGCTGAAATCCAATTCCCAGAATAGCATGAGTATGCATTAATCTTTACTCATTCATGTAGAAAATCCGTAAAGATTTTATCTTTAAGTTGATTAGAAATCTGCAATTAAGAACTTGCCTGAAAGTTTGATGGGAAATCGTTCTTTTGCAAGTAAAATCTAATGACATATGAAAACGCTTATAAGCATACCCAAGGTTAAGATGTTAATTTCCAGTCACGCCAGGAGCAATAGTAGTAGTATTAATATACGTATTTTACTTATGAGATCATATCATTTATTTTAATTTTAGAAATTTATCCCGCTTCGTGTAGCCACTGTAGCCTTTCATCATGCATTTTTATACTTATTTATATTCCTTTATAAAGTTTTTAGAAATATTTAATTAATTTATCATATTTTCTAGTAATTTTTATAATTATGAACATCAAAGCATATTTCGCATTTGTGTGAGCTTGCTCGAATAATCTAAATTAAAACTTTTAATCTACAGTAAATTAATTTTCCATTAAAATTTATTTTCCCGTTGTATACATTAAAACATATACAGACAATTGTAACTTCTACAGATATTATTTAAAAATATTGTTTGAAAGCAAAAAGATTTTTGAAAGACTTTTTACATAGCTAACATTTGAAGGCTACTAGCGGGTTAGGCAAAGTTTCCTAAAGTGGACTCTACCACCCACAATGCGGGAGTTGAGGAGAAGTCGGGGCAGAAGGGCTTAATTAGTCTTGCAGACAATAAAAAAAATTCAGGGGCAAGTCGACAAGAAGATAGCACTTGAGACAAATATTTACCTTTTAAAAATCAAACGAAGACCTGTCAATAGATCCATTGTATGTTAATTCAAGTCATATTCATTAAAATAGATTTTATTCCAGGAAAAAAATACAAACACATGTTACGGCTTATCTTAAAGATGTTAAAATTATTAATGCAAGATCATAAATATTTGTGATGCCATCCAAAATGTCCCAATAGTATGTGCATTCAGTTTGACGCAAATTCTTGCAAAATCATCAGGCATGAAAAGCAAAAATCTAGTTTCATAGAATTAACTGTGTGATGGTCTTTTATTAGTTAATAATATGTTTTCAAATTTTTGAAACAAAATTCTAATAAATAGTTCAGTGCAGAACAAAATGCAAAGTATAACTACTTGAAAACTTCAGTATATGTTCAGCAAGTGCCTATAAATCGAATTCAAAAATGTTGCGAGAATGCTGGGAAAACTTGAAGGAGACTTTGAAAGATAAAGCTGTTAAAAGCGAGCGGTGAATAAAAATTACCTATTTTGGGAAAGAAGTTTAGTTTGCACTTTTTTAACCAGTTAGCTACTAATTATCTAGACTTCTATCATTTTCATTATACAAAGGTGTAATAATAAATGGGTGGTTTCATCAATAACCCAGCCCTACACCTTCGGAGTCTAGCAGCAGAAGAGACAGAAAACCGGTTGTAGTGAACAATCTCGCTCTATCATTGAGCGATCGCGGTGAACAAACTTGATGTTGAATAAATGTGGAGGCCTGCCTGCACAAAAGTATAACTCATTGCAAAAATTTTTTCCCGTATTTGGAAATCCTGTGAAAGCCTGCAAAACATGCTATGCATTCTTACAGAATAGGGATTATGTGATTTATATATTTAGCTGCCTTTGATTAGCAAATAATCCCTTTTCATTTTCATCCCATCGGTGTTATTACTTGTTAATAGAAATCTTAAAAATGTCGTAATTAACACGACTTTTAATATCACGTTTTGGATAATAAACGTTCTTTTCAGACATATTTTATCACTTATCAATTAAAAAATGTCATATGCATTCTCTTTTTCCATATGGAACCTAGGTAATCATTTTCATTTTATTTGGTAGTCAGTGTATTAATAAATCAGTTTTAAAAATTTAATTGCTTTCGAATTTCGGAATAAATGAAAACATTTCCACTTGTCTATTAATATATATATATATATATATACAGAACTATTTCATTGTATATATACAGAGGTATTTCGTTTTCTTGTTATGTTGAAGAGCATAAAAGTATGTGTTATGTCCAAATACGTAATCAGGTCATTTCGATTTTTTAGGAGCTTTTTCGGTTCAAGTGTTCGAAACCCTGCCTCAAGATCGGGAAGTGAATCCCGGAGAACTCATTGTCATACCCTGCAAAGTTCAAAATCGGAAAGGTGAATGTGCATGGCTTAAAGATGGTGTGGTCGTTGGGAAGATTCCAGGAAAATATACCTTCGAAAGAGAGCCAGGTGATGGCGACTGTGGCATCACCATTGCCAACACACAACTCGAAGATGACGATGGGCTGTGGCAATGTCAGGTGACTCAAGGCACGGTACAAGATCCAACGCTATTCTCTCCAGAAGTGAAACTGACTGTAAGAGGTAATTGCAGCGCTCTATTCATCCCCAATAATTTGGCAGACTAATAATAATTCATTTCCAATAATAGTAATTTTGAATATGTTAAGTACACCAATTTTTTTCTGATAGGTAAGAACTGGTGATTTTGGCTATATCTTGTTTAAAAACTCACGCTGTTGTGCAATTTTGTTGCAGATAGAGTGCAAATCAAATACACGGCAATCTCATTTTTCCGAATGAAAGAATGATGCAAAATAAGTATATTTGTATTCGTATTTTACTGACAGGTGAATCTAAAACAACTTAAACACATGTATTGTTACTATTTTGTTTTCGGCTCATTGCATTATTTCTTTGTTTTCCAAAGCGCAGTGATGGCACAACTTGGTACATCCCTTATTATTTTAATCAATGCAAAGTACTTTGAGGTATTGTCTTTATACCAGCCTACAATAAGATTATTATATTATTATTTTTCCAGCTAATGAAAATGCAATTTTCACAAAGTTAAGAAAACTCTTTACGTCATGTTTCATATCCTTCTCTAATTATCCGAAATTTTTAATGCAAATGAGAAGAAAATTCTTTAGTTGCTTTTTTAGATTATACTGGAATCATTTTCAAAGTATGTTTATGCAATGCGAAAAGATGAGATATTCTCAATTTGTCAACTCATGAATTAATTAAGTTAATGTTATGGTAATACAAAATAATAATAACTAGGATGATGTTACGAGATGGTACAATTGCTCAAAAAAAATATGCCAAATTTCAAAATGCGAAAATATGTAAATTCGTGTATATCTTAGAAAATTTTGATTAAACCACTCTAATGTTTTGCAGGTATGCTTAGAACTACTGTTCTATTTTAAGATGCTTAGAACTACTGTTCTATTTTAAGATGATGGTAAAAATTTTATAGGTTTAATTAAAAATATTTTTTTGAAAAATTAATAAAATTATTTAAAAATATCAATTTTAAAAACAAAACACGAAAATGGGTGAATTTTATTTTAACCTAAATTTCGAAATGTGAAAGAAAAAATCAAAAACGTTTAATAAAAAAAGAGATATTAATAAATATATGCCAATTCAATTAACACTGAGGACCTAAAATTTTGAAAGCTAATTTTTTAAAAACTACTCGTACGATTTTTACAACACTTTGCAGTCTGGCATAATTTGAGTCGTAAAATCGAAATATCGAAAAAACTTGGCATGTTGTTTCAGAAAAAGTCCTTTTATGTCAAAATACCTATGTTAGAATAGAGCTGTATATAAATCCAATATATATCCTAAGTCGCGCTTTCGAGACATAAAGAACGCGATTTGAATTTTGTCAATCGGCTGAGTAGTACGGGAGATTTAGAACTGTTCCATTTTTCCCCCACAGTATACATGCTGAGGAAAGGCCTCCCTGTAAGTATACTAATTATCTCTGTATATTTAGTATACCTACAGGGAGGTATACTAAATATCTCTGACCGAATTTTGAGGGATAACACTCCGAAGCTTTATCCAAGGATCTCCCATCTCACTTCTGAGAGGTATTTTGAATCCCCTTTGGCCGCACAGATAATAAACACTTTCAAACATCATGGTTCCCCGGAATTCGAACTCGTTCTGATTGATACGGAAGTCAGCTTCATTTATTACTATACCGGGTGCCCAACACCCTGCATATCACAAACGGTCACGATTCAAATTACGATATTCATCAAAATGAAGAGAAACACATCAATGTGAAATTTAAGAGCACGCCAAAAAACATTTGCCTTTATTTGGCATAGATTTTGAATAAATCTTTCTCTATTTCGAGAAGATCATACCTAGGTCCTTTTTTTTTTTTCAGAAAAGAAAAAACTTGCAACCTGGGTGAAGCAACAACATTTTCATACCGAAAGCAATGGATGGAACAAAACGTACACGAAAGTATTGTCATCTATCGAGGATGATAATACTGAAACGTGAAAGGCTAAAATACTTCAGTTCTGAAAATGTTAAAAGAACTAGATTGCTGTTAATGTCATTAACTAAGCAATAAATTTTGTGAATGTGTAACACTTTACTTTTGTTATCAATTTGGACCTAGTGTCCAAACTACGATTAAGTGTTGAAGATTTATTTGTTTCTCCTTTTCGATTTTTCAACATTCGAAAATACGAATCTTACGCAGAAAACTGGAACAAGATAGACTGCCGTTGCCAGATCACGCATTCTCTTTTCTTAAACCTAAACGAAAGAATTAAATTTAGGTTGGATAATTTATTACCGGAAGGCAAAAGAAGTTTATCAAGAGGACATTAAAGAAACCTGGCTGATATTCAAGATGCATACTGGAAAAAAAAAAAAAAAAAAAAAAAAACATGAAACTCTATACAACCATGAAGTTTGTCGTTACCGAGAAATCGAACCCGGAATAACCTGCCAATGTTTACGTAGCTTAGCCACATAGTGTTCTTGGGTCTAATTCGTGTCAGAAACAACGTCGTATCGTATAAATGAATTCTACTGATTAAAGGTATGCATCATATATGGCCCGACCAGATCTCAATTTTGATGCATTTAATCAATGAATTTTAGTTTTTGGCATTATTTAATTTCGTCAAGACGCCGTTAATGGCATTAATTACATTGCCTGAAATGATTGCATATTGTTAGATAAACACTTTAATACAGTAGGTTTAGAATTCCTAGAGTCACCCAACACTGTTGCAGTTTTTTGTTGGGTTCCTTAAATACCATTACATTATTGCATAATCTGGAAAAAAAGTCAGCTGCACTCGATAGCGTGTCACCACAAATGCCTTTCATATCTAAATATATAGTTAAGTTAAGGAATAATGACATTTAAGAACTTAGAGTGCAATTAGAAAAACTGGTATTGAAATGTCATGGAAACGTAAAATTAAGAGAGTTCTTGTATTTAGGAGAATCCATGTCATGGCTAAATTTAAAAAAAAATTGAGAATATTTTACACGTTTTTTTCCATTAATGAGAAACTAAAATATTCTATACCCAGCTAATGTTTTAACATTTATTCTATTAGCATTATTACGAAAATTATTCTTAATGCCTTAATTACTGAATTAATTTATTGGGTATAAATTTTAAAATAGCTTATGTCGTAAAAACTTCCCATAATATACTTTGCTATTTGGGGTAAACCCCTGGTTTTCTGTTGGTAAAACTGAATGGTTTTTCTTTTCTTCTCATCCTGTCTTTGGGGTGGAGGATGCATCAAAACTTTGATAGGAGAACGTGATACGTTTTCGGATGGGCGATAAGCCGATTTTTCGGACTGATCAGAAGAAAAAGAATAGGGGTGCGAAACACGTAGAATATGAATGATTAGATGCCGCGAATTCCTAGACCCAGATTTCTCTCTGAAACGTCTACGAAAGATATGAAGGTATTATCTGCAGGTGAGAAGTCGATGTGAATCTCCCATAGCGAAAGAATACCGTCTCTAACTCGATAGTAATATTGTGAAACAGCGTTTGAATTGGCCTTCGTAAAAAGGGGCTATGTAGTAAAATTCAGACTTTACTAGAGAAACGAAGAACAATTTCTTCTGGTAATATGCATGCGTAAAATTTTGCAAAAAGAACATAATTACTCCTTTAGTGTAAGATATGAAAAATATGTGCGATCAAAAGAATAAATACTGTAGTATTTCTATTAGATTTTTAAGACAGTAAACTTAAAGCCAGTTTTTAAGCAAAAATTCAACTTTGTTTTCTCTTTTTTGAGTTCAAATTATAATGGCACGAGTTCTAGCTAAGTTACGAATGTCTAAAGTTGGAAGAAGACAACAGATACAAAGAAGATACCTTTAAAACCTAGTCTAATATGAAATTATGGAAGAAACTGCAGTGAAAGTACATGTTAAGAAGTTTGAAGCAAGAATTACGTTTTACCTACTAAAACGTAATTGTGTAACCTAACGAAGAGAATAATAGATGATAAATCTTTAATTACCATAGAAATAGATGAGCAATTCTTAATTACAAGAAAGAATTAGGTAGTGCTACTCCACGGCTCTTAAAAGTTTATGTCATGTGGTATATTTCCAGCTATCCAAGAAGTCTTTTTATCTTATTACTGTGCTTGCACTGATAGGAAAAATTTCTGAAATTATTGTCTGTATTCGTCAACTATAAATAGTTTTTCCATACAAGACATTTAGTTTTATCTGTTTCTGTGCATTTTATTTAATTACTGGTCAATGAAGATTTTACTGGTAACAAACTGCCAGGTAAATACTGTAACTATTGTCCCGTGAGATCATTATTTGTAGAAACGTTATCCTATAAACCGCTTGGAGTAACAACATATTTCTCGGTTTTAGATCTTAAATTATTTGAACTTTGGATTTTAAGAAAGCGGTGGGGAGGGATTGCGTCAGTAGTTTTGAAAATGCCTCATTCAAAAATTTTAAAAATAAATTACACGAATACTTCAAGAACTTTAAGTTATTGTTACCTATCCTCGTGTCCAAGGGTAGTGTTATCGAACAGCCTCTAGAATAAGCAGGATTTGGAAGAGAATAAGCTTTTCCTTGGGAAAAGCTTCCGGTACCGTCGGTGACAGATTGACTTTGCCCAGCTCTATCCTTATTCGAGAACGCGCTGCGGGAAGTTGAATCCAAGGATTTCGCATCCCCATTTCCTACCACCAAACTTTTGAAAGGAAGTTTGGCTCGACATGTTCTAAATTTCCCTATATCACAAAGGATATTAGAGACTTACAACCGTCTCTGTGCCTTCTTTGAAAAGGGTATAAATTATTTAAATGCAAAACGTGAAAAGTAGTGTATCATTTATCTTTTCTTCATTAGCTGAATTTGTTTCACCTTTCATAGGTTATTTTTTATACTATTGTCGAGATTTTTATTCTTTGTTATCGAATATATCATAATATCCTGTAGCTGCCAGAGCAGTAAAGAGATTGTTGAAATTTGCTGTCGTACTTATAAAGACAATATATGAACTCATTTTATTTTTATTGATATTCTTAT